CGGAACCCCGCGAGTCCGAGAAGAGCCACCCCGAGCGGGTAAGTAGGGGCCCGGGCCGGGCGGCGAGTCTGGAACGGGGCGAGGGGAGGGGGATCAGGGAGAGACCCAGGCGCCCGGACGCCCAGCCCCGCGCCCAGCCTGGTCTTTTTGGAAACTCGATCCTCGAGGGGGAAACTGCTTCCGCCCGCCTACCGGGCGCTCGGGCGGTTGCAGGCTTGGGGCGGCTTCCCACGACCCCCACCCCTTCCCCGCGCTGGGCTGGGACTCTGAGCTTTTCTTGCCACTTGTTCTTTGGCCTTTAGAAGTGAGAGGGAGGGGGGCGGGCGGCCCAGTCCCCTCTTTCCTCTGCTCTGTTGGTGGTGGCTGCTCCGTGTTTGGGGAAACCTCTAATCCCGCCCATCCCGGGGCCGGCTTTTCAGCCACCCGATTCCCAGCCTGCCCAGAGGTGCCAGCTTCTTCCGTGGCCCCAGTGGGTGGTAACTGGAGCTGGGATGAAGCAAGTGGGACCCGCGGAGCCCGGGCGCTGGGAGGAGGGGGAAGGGGTGGCAGGCAGGGCTGTCTCCGCGCCTCCCCTCCAGCCCTGGTATGTGTATCATTAACTTCAGCGGCTGGACTTCATCCTCCTCTTGCAGTCCGGTGTGACTTCTAAGAAAAGAGAGGAAGCCCCACCAACCGTGGGCGCTGTGGGGTGGAGTTCGGGGAGGAGGTGCAGAGGTCTCTGGCGGCTCTGCCTCCTAGGATTTATGATTCTCAGGAATGTGAGGAGTAAGCGCTAGCTGGTATCTGAGCGCGGGAGGGAGGATCTTGGAGGAGAAGGATGGCTGGGGAGGGAGGAGAGGGAGTGGTCGGTGGCCCAGGGCCGTGCAGGGGCCAGCCAGCAGCTTCGGGTAGGGGGTCCTGCCCAGGCATCCGCCTCACTCCAGTCCTGGACAGCAGGAAGTCTGGTTGCTTTTTACCCGTGTTTAGAGTTTCCCAAAACGATCCCAGACTGGGTCAGCTGCAGGATGAGCAGTGGCAACACTGGAGTTGTGCTCAGGCTCTGTCCCCAGAGTCTGAAGGGAAGGCCTTCGGGGTGCTGACTGGCGGGGAGCAGGGCGTGGGCCCATTTGGTGGCTCTCCACCTGGTGGCAGCATGTGGCTCAGGTGTTCCTGGCGCCAGCAGGAGCCTCCCCTGGTCAGAGAAAGGGCACAGTTCAGCCTAAAGGTAGAAGGTGGAGCCAGAGAGGACCAACTGATTCAGTGGAAGTAACGGAAGTGAGGTCACTCAGAGCCCTGTCCAGCGGAGTGGAGTGCCAGGAATGCCAGGGCCACCAGGCTCCCACTTCCTGCCATTACCGAGCAGGCACTGGCAAGGGTGGGGCAGGGGCCAGAGCACCCCAGCCAGGGGTCAACACCAGGGAGTTGGAGCCCATGACCTCTGGTCCCAGGCAGAAATCCATTTTGCTGAGTGCATCGATTTGCCATTCCATTATTTTCTGGACTTTGGCACTCCCACAAGTAACCCGCCACCCCTCATCCCCCACACCCGAAGTTGCATCAGGTCAAGCTCCTCCCACTACCCTTTTGGTTTTGCTGCTGCGTGTGGGAGGGCCTGGGGGGAGGACCTAGCACATGCCTCCCCTCCTCCCCCGTGCCATCTGAAAGGCAGCAGCGCTTGGCTTCCTGCTCTCTGGGTGAGCACAGAACCCCAGTCCCCCGGGCGGTTTGTGTGTACCGTGTTAGGGAGGAGAGCCAGCCCCCGGTCCTGGGGACACCGTCACCAGGCCTCTTGGGGTTTCAGGTCAACAAGCAAATCAGAACTTCCCTGAGCCTTGGTTCTCCCATCTGTAAAATGGGGGCCTTGCATTACAGTGACACCTGTCCTCTAGAATTCTACAAATAACGGAAGTACTCACACCCCTGTGGGATGCTGAATTGAGCTCCTTTAGGCCCAGGCATTGGAATCCGAGCGCTGTGTAGCCACTGCCTGTAGCCTTGGGCACAGCCAGTCAGCACTCTTAAGTCCCTCCAGTGGGAAATTCCCATGAAATCTGGCATGGTGGACTTGAAGGTGACCCGCTCTGTCACTGCAAAAATGTTAATAAACATCGTAAATTATCTTAAGTCCCTCCAGTGGGAAATTCCCATGAAATCTGTGGTGGACTTGAAGGTGACCCGCTCTGTCACCGCAAAAATGTTAATAAACATCGTAAATTATTTTTCCTAAAAGGCCTCTCCATGGGGCTGTTTCGGCCTCTCCATTATCCTCACACGTGGAAAAGCTGTTACTTGGAAAGGGGCCTGGGCGGCAGGGGACATCTGATGGGGAAGACCAGCCTGGGGCGGGAATGAAAGGGCAGAGGGTGAGGGGCCTGTCGCGCTGTGTGGAAGGAGGTGGAGGTGTGCCTCCAGCTCTGCCCCCCTTTGTGGGTGGCTTTCCCCGCCTCCACCCACAGGGATGGGACCTAACCCCCTGGAGCTTGGCGCCTGGCACAGGGACTCACAGCGCGAACGGGCAGGCCTAAGCCAGCGCCACTGTACAGGCGGGGCCACCTCGTAGCCTCCCTAAGCCTCCATTTCCTCTTGTGTAAGTTGGGGGCGACAGCAGCAGCCTCGAAGGGTTGTCGGGATTACTCAAGGGTGTCTGTTAAGCTCAATGCCTGGCACCAAGTGGGTGGTAAACGTTGGTTGTTGGTATGTGAATTAATAAATATTCCACAGCAATTGTTGCCCCATCTATGGGGCAACTAGCCCTGGATCAGCCTCCCTCGTTAGGCAAGTGCAGCTGCAGCCACACCTGGCACGAAGTATGTGCTCAACTAAGGGTGTCGCTCTTATTGGATAATCACATTCCACAGCCTGTCAAAACCTGGCAGCCTTCTCTCCCCACCTCCCTGCTGTGTCCACCCAACCACACCAAGGGTCCAAACTCCCCGCTAGCACATCATGCTGGCTTGGCCTTTGAGCCTTCACACCTGGTCCCCTTCAGCCCCTTCTCCACGAGGCACACTCTCCAAGGCCACATGCTTCCCCAGGAGCCTCTCCCACTCCCTGTCCTTCCTCTGCTATTGCTCTGGACAAACGTGCAGGATTTGAATTCTCTGTTTATGATCCCTATCACGGTGTGGCGAGTCCCCAGGGCAACACCTGCCCTTATTTGTGTTTATGTCCCCGGCATTGTGCCTCGCACAGAGTAGGGAGCGGCTCAATCAAATTTTTTGAATTAGTGAATAAATGCATAACAGCCACCGGCGACCTTTGTCCTA